TGCATCCCACAGACTTTTTGTAGCCTCATTGTTTGAGCGATATACTCCGGCTAAAATCAACAGACCTATGTAGGCTTGGAGGTCTACCAGGTCGATTTCTCTCCAGGTGTCTCCAAACACACGCTTCCCCTCCAGGTTTGTCATCTCCAGTATAATTCCCTCAATGGACTTCGGTAAAAAGAGTTGGAAGCTGGATTTGATGTCATCCACACAAGATATGGCACACTGTGTTGGCCCTGGCCTACTTCCTCCAGGATGAAGACCAGAGCAAGTATCCACTCTTGGACTGGAATGTTTCCTCAGGTGCATGTTCTTCTTTTGGTGCCTCTCCCTCTCCATCTGTTGACTGGTCAGTCTCGTCAAAGTCTGGGTCAAAATCTGTGTTGTCTTCCACTTCCGAGACATCTTCATCTATCTCCTGTTTAATTTCAGTGCCCTCTTTATATCCAGAAACCTGGACCAGAACGTCTTCGACAGAGAACTGCTTGGTCAGTCGCCTACTCATTGTGCTCGGAGTAAAATGAGTGCAAGGCAAACATCAAGCTACATATATATGGGGTCTGTGAGAAGATGATACACTGATTAGTCTGGAAGGTGTGGCTCACATGGAGGACGGGCACATAAAGAGATTTTTAGTGATTACTCCCAGCTGTGCTCTCCTCCTGTGGCTCATTCCCCCTCGTTATCCCACAGTGTATTTAAGCCCCTTGTTTCTCTTTGTCAGTGTTGCGTCCTCCCTCATAGCTGTGTGATTTTTCCCTGTGGCTCCTTGTGCATTAGTTTTCCCAGTTTAGTTTTGTATTGTTTTTCGTGTCCCACTCAACGCCAGCAATAAAGTTAGATAAGAGGACGGGCACATAAAGACATTTTTACCCTTGTTTTTTTCATTCAGTGGGTGTCGTTCAGTGGGCCTTTCACTGGGGTCATTCAGTGGGAGTTGGTCTGTAGGTCATTCAGTCGATCGTTCAGTCAGTGAGTGGGTGGATACCCATTCATTTCCTATAGTGGTCACTTTGATCGGGAACACCACAGATGTAACAAGGTTGATTAAAACACTCAAA